TCTCCCTCTCTCCCTCTCTCCCTTCCTCCCTCCTCCTCCACCTCCTCCTCCTTGTCTGTTGGATCTGTCAGCGACTTGCAGGCTGCTCTAGACTTGAACAGTAATTATAGCAACTTCCGGAAGGTGAAGCCCCCATGAAAAGTCTGGAGAAATGTTCTTTGTCATGGCCTCTGCATGAGTAATTAGTTCCACATGTGGCCTTCCTCGTTTCCCTCAGCGATTTTTGGCTGGCTCCCTGAATGCTGGGCTATAGCTTGACCTAAAGAAACTTTAAAGTTTGGATTTCAAGCCTCCACCATGAAATAACAGCTCTGGTCTCCTAGCAGATTGCCTCCGGTAGACCCACGCTTTTAGTACATACAGCATTGTTCTTCACTGGTAATTCCCGAGTTAGGACTTTTTTTTTTTTTAAGGGTATTCTTCTGCTTAATTCTATCTCCACTTAACTAAATCTGTTGAAGTTTTCCAAGTACCGTTTGACCAAAGGTTAGAAGATATCAGCTCACGGCATTGACTTTTCTCCTCACTGCCGCTGCTGTTTTCAATTATGTATGCTGTTGAATATTCTGAGCATACAGCTCTCCGACTCTCCCTCCATAGAATTGTGATTAAAGTTCAAGTTCCTCAAACAAGAGCTTGATTAATTGCCCTTCCAGAGATCAAAATGTGAGAAAACTCCTAGGTAGCTTCCAATTTAATTTGAGTAGCCAAACTAAGAAACGTATTATTCTTTCAAGAACTACAGCCAACGCAGTTCATTTCTACTGGCCTCCAGAAATGCTTTTTTAGAAGCAGAAAAAAATGTACCTCTTTTTAAATATGTTGGACTGAATACTTCAAAGAACTTCTAGCAAGACCTGTCTAAAAGCATTGGCATTTCTTGAAATGCCTTCTCTTGAATTAACATACTTTTTAAAGGGTTCAAAAGTTATTACAAGCCCCTGGTCACCTTGGGAAGAAGATTAAATACAATGAAAACGAATTATCCAGCAGCTTAAGATGGAACCAAGAAATAGGCATTAGGTACATCACTCATAGACAGATTTAAGTCATCAGTGGAGACCCGAAGGAGTACTTCCTATCCCTGTACCTCTGCTTTCTTACTTGTTCCTTCAGGGTCTAGTGCTTAAGGAAGCCCAGTATGCCTCAATTCCTTTTCTCCCGTCATTGCTTCTACAATGGTGGAAACATGCAAATGTGACTACATACAACTTACTAGGCTGATTACATACATGTGAATACCAACTGCATCCCTCTTGAGTGTCTGTATGTGTATTCGCAAGTCATCGTAGGGGAGCCACACGCCAGGGGGACAAGACTCAACCAGGAACCCAGCACGCCAGGTGTGGGCTGCATTCTGCCACAAATAGTGGAAGTCTTTCCTCTGCCCTCTGCTATTTATGTCGATGAAACATGCCTCGGAAATTCTGGGTAAGGCAGATGAAAGGTGGTTCTGATCAGACTGCTCCATGATTTCATCTCAGCTCACACATCTGTACTTTCTCAAGTATGGGAAAGATCCCTTTCTCAACTAGGGGTTTTTATGATGTTTTAGTCAAGGAACTCAAACTTAGCTTGGCTGCTTTGGAAGCATTTTAAGTGGTTTTTCTACAGAAAACAACTATAAAGGTTGTGCCCCCTTAGCATAGATGAGCATGTCTCATTGGGCATCCAATTAGCTGGAATGTTTTAGAGTTCTCTTTCCTCCAACTAGTTCAACAAATATTTCTTTTCGCCTCCTCATGTGCTCGTTACGACGCTGGGCACTGGGCATGTACAGTTTAAGAAGATATGGTTTCTGCCCTCCAAGACTTCACACTTACTTGTAGAGTTAGGAATGCTATTCTGTGGTCAAGTTCAATCTGAAAAGTCTGCAGTGCCTCCATGGAAAGTCCTTGGCATCCCTTTGGAAATGGCCTGAGGGCTTTCTGAGGTCTGTAAAGGTGTCAGTGAAATACCTGAAATGGGATGGACTCTAGAAAGCAGAGTCAGACACGACAAGGAATTGCCTTTGGGAACTAATGCTGTGGAACTTGCTTTATTTCAAAAGGCATTGACCAAAGCAATTGTTTGAATCAATGAATGGTTTTGGTTGACTACAAAATTTGCTCTATTTTAAAATGCCTTGGAAAAGAAACACTGTTTCAGTTGGTTAGTATTCCCCAGTTTGGCAAATTTTTATGACTTTAGAAATTGTCAAATTGAAACCAGGACCGAGACTTGTTTCTAGGTACTCATAAAGAAAGAGAGTTACTAGTGTTTGCAATTAGAGTATTTTGTGACATCCAGATACGCACATTTCAGGTTATATTTATAGAGTTTCAATTTTTTTGTTACAAGATTAGTGCCCAGGCATTATAAATGTTTCAAACAATAGAAAGTATTGTTCCACTCCACCCTCCTAGCCCTTTCTGCTCTCCCAAATTAATGGTAACAGTTTGGTATGGTTCCTTTTGCCACCTTCTCAATAGTCATCATATAGCATCTTTCCAGATTATAAAAATCCTTTCACATACAACATATTGGTTTCTTCTAATAACCTTATGGGGTAGATAGTATCATCATTCCCATTCTATGGATGATGCAATTGAGGCTCGGAGAGGTTAAACAAATTACATAGTGGAATTACAGTAAGTGGCAGGACTCAGCTTTTCTTCCAACGCAGATGCCTGTGATCAGAAACATATTATCAGTCCCCAGAGATGATTGCCCCACTGCTGAATTCTTATGGCACTGATATTTCCTGGTATTAATTTGTCAATTATCCGCTGCCTTCTCTTAGTTTTGAATGGAAATGTACATGTACTGTTTATTATTTCATATATTTGAGTGTTCTCCCCAAATAGAATATAAGCTAATTGAAGGCAGCGATGGTTTAGCTGGCCCATAGTAGGCCAACCATAAAACTGTAGAAAGAATGAGTAAAAGCTATGTAGTGTGCATGTGGTTTCTAATCCAACAACCTTCATCGTGACAATAACTCAAGAATTAAAAACTATCTTATTTACTATCTTAATGGAAACCGTGGTGCAATTTTAACATTTCTATATGTGTCCTACAGTTTCATATCAGATTGCACGATTCTTCTAGAAATAAATGTGAACATTGGGCCAGCCATGTTTCCTCACTTATTTTTGGCCTTCTAATCTTCTGGAAGCATCCTGTGTAGATATCGGTCCTACAATCTTGTGTGAAAAGCAGGATCTAACCAAGCTGTGGCGTTTCCTTTCTTGTTGTTTTCTCCTTCCCAGTTTGTATTTGAGATAAAAATCTAGTTGACCCCAGTTCATTGCAAATTAGGGAAGATAGCCCCACTTAACTTGGCCTTATGTTGTGTGGATTAGCACTTTTTTTTATAGGAGGCAGTGCAGCTCCTTAATCACCAGCGTTTCCCATTTTGTTTGAGGCCCATAAGGACTGGGAGATTCTTTGTAGCAAAGTTTTCCCCTTTTCTCTCCTTCCCCTCCTGACTCAAACAAATGGCTGCTTTCAGACCACTGCAGACAAATGCCTCCTAGCCAGAGGTGTAGCAGAGGGGCTGTAAAATAGAGGAGAAATAGTCCAGAAGAGTTAACAGATTTTCCTTCCACGACTGAAAAAGAAGTTAAATTGGAATGGCTATAAATCATAAACCTAATGCAACGGATTTTACAAGCTTCCAAAAGCTTGCAAAAGGCAAAGATTGTGAGAGTTGGTTTTCCAACGTACGTTTACTAATGCATGTTTTGTTTTGCCCATCTCTAGAATTTCCATTGCCAGGTCTGTTTATTTAGAAGTCAGCCCCTAACCAAAAGCAGTATATATTCTATGAAAATTCTTTCCTCAAATCAATTGAGAAAGATAATGTTACATCTTTAAGCTTTACTAACCACTGGTGTGCACAGCATCCATTTCTATATTTCAGTAACATAATACATCCGGCAGACAGACCTTAAAAACTCTGGCTCTATTGAAAACCAGTCGCACGAAGGTAAATATATGATTTATCACTCCACTAAAATCTGAAGCACTTTCTTGAACTCTTTCCGGGAAGCAAGATAGAGGGATTGGAAACTCGGTGCTGGCTTTTTCAGAAACATTTTTAAGTGAGAGTGGACCAGGAATGCAGCCCGCTGCCTGACTCAACCCCCAAGTGAGCATCATCTGAATGCTATGTGCTCTGAATTCCCATTGAATTCTGTGTTACAGTCAGACTTTAAAACGAGCACTGGCTCCCTGGGACAGAACAGATATGGCGTCCTCAGGCCACTGACGGTTTTAGAATATTGACTCCTAGTGTCTTTTGGCATCACCGATATTGTACTTCCTGAATGCAGCTCAGAAATGAGCATGCGCGATATAAAAGAAAAAAAAATGGGCGTGGGCTTTACAGAAAGACCCAGAAATTTTTTTTATTTTTTTGCAGAGGTAGAAAAGGGATGCTTTCTGTGGCTGGGGGTACAAGGGAAGCATATGGCCTACCAGGGAATGGGTGGATGAGAAGCTTTCTGCTTTGCTCAGAATACCTGCAGTCGTGCAGTAGGTCTTTCTGGAAGCTCCAGTCTTTAGGTGATGGTGGGCAGACTTGCACAGTCCACATCACAGCATCTGTATTTGAGGGTTTGTAATCCTTTGCTATGTGCAAAAGGGGAAATACAAATTATTTGAACTGCTACCAGGGTTTGCTCCAACACAAACCTGTTTAGTTGAGTCTGTTGTAG